GCTGTCTCTTATACACAGATCTATTAAATAAAGAAATTAGTTAGTTTAAATTATATGTAAGTACTATTATAACAATAAGTAATAATAAACAACTTACTCTCTATATTATTCAATAATTTTTTAAATAAAGAAATTAGTTAGTTTAAATTATATGCAAAAATTAGTTAGTTTAAATTATATGTAAACATTATATAAATAAGTAATAATAGAATTAACTTACGATCTATTAAATAAAGAAATTAGTTAGTTTAAATTATATGTAAATATTATATAAATAAGTAATAATAAAATTAAATAAACAACTTACTTTCTATATTATTTAATAATTTTAAATTATATGTAAATATTATATAAATTAAATAAATAATTAATAAACAACTTACTCTCTATATTATTTAATAATTTTTTAATAAAGAAATTAGTTAGTTTAAATTAAATATAAATATTATAAATAAGTAATAATAGAATTAAATAAATAACTTACTCCCTATATTATTTAATAATTTTTTTAAATAAAGAAATTAGTTAGTTTAAATTATATGTAATTTATATAAATAAGTAATAATAGAATTAAATAAATAACTTACTCCCTATATTATTGAATAGGTTTTTTTAAATAAAGAAAATAGTTAATTTAATTTATATGTAAATATTATAACAATAAGTAATAATAGAATTAAATAAATAACTTATGATTTACCAACTAAAGTAAAATAATTTTTTAAATAATTAGTTAATTTAAATTTTATAAATAATAGAAATATAAATGCCATATAACTTACACCCTATAGTATTATTAATTATTAATTAGTTAGATATAAATATAATATGAAAGTATTTACTGTAAGTTATATATATTGCTTACAATCTAGTTATTAAATTTAGAATATAATTAGTTGAATCATATAAAATATTAAACAAATAAATATAATATATATATTATAACTTACCATCTGTAACATAATTAGTTATTAAATCGTTATATATATATATATATAGGGTTTTGTTTTTTATCGCACCTGCGTTATGTCGCACCCCTATAATATGTTACATATAAAAGTCAAAAATGACATTCTAAATCCTTTTTGATATATTAAGAAACTTGTAGAATG